AGGCTTTCTCTCTCTGTCAGCCTTCTTATCAATCTTCCCCTGGACTAGGAGCTTCTCCACGCAGGGACCCTGGATCCAAAGTATGTGCTCTGCTCCTGGCACTGCTTTCTTGGTGGTATGAGGTCCCCAGTTCTCTACTTGCTTCCCTTTTCTTTTATCTCTTGTAAGATAAAAGGTGGTGCAGGCCACACCCTAGGGAAACTCCCTTTACATTGGATGAGGGATGTGACCTGGGTAAGGGTGGTATTAAGCAATCCCACCCTAATCCTCTTTAACATAAAATTACAATTACAGAATGGAGGACAACCACACAATACTGGGAATCATGGCCTACCCAAATTGATACACACATGTTTTGGGGGGGCATAATTCAATCCATGACAGACCTGGAGGAGGATTGCATCAAGAGAGGAAGCCGCCTAGGCAGCATTAAAACAGGAAGGAAACACCTATTACTGGTAAGGTTTGAAGCAACATGCAATGAGGGTGGACTAATAGCACAAAGGGGAAAGGAAGGACTAAATCCAGCAGGATAAACATACTCCAAAAATTTCTATACGAGGTATATGGCTTGTGTTGACATATACATGTTAATAGAGTGAGTGATTTGTAGAGAAAAGATTATTTTTTTGAGAGAGAAAAATGTCAGCTTCTCTGGTTTGAAATATTGCATGATGTACCTTTCACCCAAATGAGATGTTTTCCTCATTGCATCTCCTACGAACCAAAGAAGGTCATGAGGCATGGTGGATAAGAACACAGGCTCTGACTACCCAGCCACCTACAAAGTGTATGAGAAGGTACATAGCTGATGGTATTGTGAAGATGCAATGACTTAGTATCCATTCAATAAATTCTAGCTACTATTATTTGCTCATCTACATTCTGGAAAATACTGCAGAAAGTAGGTATCATTAGTTTTTAAAACATAGTGAATAGTTGATAAAGACGAAAGTTACTCAAGTAGGCTTCTATTTAGGGAAACTAAAAGAAATCTGTCTAAAACCACATTATCCTCAGAAAGAATACTACTTTGACTATGCAGTTTATTCATTCAATTAAAAAGGTAGTCATGTGTGTAGGAGTGAGAGTATTTAGAATGTGCTCATAGTCCTTCACTCTTAAATCTCTTTTTTTCTCACCATGGCTCTGACTTCACCAGTTCCCTTTCGTGTGTTCAGTCGGTTTTGCTTTCTAAGGGTTTTTTTTTTTTTAACACTTAATATATCAGAAGGGGAGAGCTCCATGTATAAGCTGACTGATAATGTTTTGCATTTTCTTTGAGAATATTTCCTTGAGCATCCTAAATAGTGTCATTAAGCTTCTCTTTCCAAACCACCCAAGCACATTAGTCATTATTGTGTTCATCCTTGAACGTTATCATATTGAAGACTTTCCAAGGCTGAACAAAGCCAGGCTTACTGACCTTTGAGGCACTGTTTCTATACAAGAGACTATGGTCTTTTGAGGGTATATATTCTATTTGTTTGGGATAGCCTCTTTTTACTGAGGGACTGTTTTATGCGTAGAAAACTGGAACTTCATGTTTCTCCTTGATGGTTTGCCAGCTTGGTTCCCGGCCAACCAGATAACAGCTTGTAGTGACACTCAGTCCTCTAGGACTCCCAGTCTTGTGCCAGCCCTTAGAGGCCAGTCCCACAAGTCTGCTCTCACTATTCCACAAGCCAAGGACACTGCTGGTCTGCATGTAGAGAAGTAGAGATAAAAATCTGATACCAATCCAAGGGAGTTACTGCTAGAGTTCTGATTCAAGTTTAATGAATTTATTATTTTTACTGTTTAAGTTCTGATTTACTGTTTTAAGCAGAAAAGGAAAAAGCTGCTCTGTCTTCCTCAATGTTTGATGCACTGAGTTGCTAAACCCAGCCTTAGGAGTCGAAGCATATGCAGGGAATGCCCCTCTTCCAATCTTAGCAATACTTCTTTGATCATTTCTAAAACAGTGAGATATTTAGTATCTCCAGCCCTGACCTCCTGAACTTCAGTGCCAAATATCCACCTGCCTGATGATTATTTATTTGAATACATAGATTTCCTCAAATACCTTATGTCAAGAATTTATTTAGTTATTTCAGATTCCTTTCTGGAATTATCTATTTCTCTAATAAATACCATCCTTCTTCCAGGCAACCATTCTCATCACTTTGTTTCTTCTTCCTCTTTACATCTAGGATGTTGCTAAATTCTGTTCACTTCTTAATCAGTTATGTTTCTCCACTTGATAATTTTGTTTGTGTTTTCTCTGCCATTTTCTTGCTCAGACGCTTACCACTTTATACCTGAAGTACTGCAATAAGCCACTATCTTGTGTATGATAATTTATAAAATTTAAATCTTCTACCACTTCACACCTACTAAGATGGCTATAATCAAAACAGCAGACAATAATAACAAGCGTTGGTGAGGATGTGGAGAAATTGGAACCCACATGTGTTGCTGATGGGAATGTGAAATTGTGTAGTCACTTTGGAAAACAATTTGGCAGTTCCTCAAAATGTTAAACATAGAGTTACCCTGTGACCTAGAAGCTGTACTCCTAGATGTATATCCAAGATAACTTAGAACAGATCTCCACACAAAAACATGTACATGAATGTTCATAGTAGCATTATTCATAATAACCAAAACGTAGAAGCAGTCCAAATGCCCATCAACTGATGAATGGATAAAGAAAATGTGGTCTATTTATGCAATGGAATATTGCTCAGCCACAAAAAAACAATGAAGTACTGAAACATGTTACAATATCAGTGAATCTTAAAAACATTATGCTATGTGAAAAAAGCCAGACACAGAAGGGGAAATACTGTATAATTCCATTTATATTAAATGTTCAGAATAGGCAAATCGATAAAGACAGAAAGTCAAATAGTTTTCAAGGGTTGGAGGAGGGCAAGCATGGGGACTAAATGCTAATGGATACTGGATTTCATCTGGGGGTGATGAAAATATTCTGGAATTAGATAGCAATCTTGGTGGCACAATCTTGAAATATACTAAAAACCAACAGGGTGAATGTTGTATGTCTGAATTATATCTCAATTAAAGAAAAAACAAAACTGTATCTTAGAACGTGAAATTTATGCTGCCATGCTTCTAAAGAAACAGCATGTCCCAATCTCAGTTAACTATTTCTAGCTATGTAACTATGGGAGAATTAAGTGACTTGATATGTAAAATAGGGATAGTAATACCTACCTCACCAGATGTTTGTCAACATTAAATGACATAACATATGTAGTGCATCTAGCATTAAAAAAAAAAAAAAAGGTTGCCATCAAGTCGATCATGACTCATAGTAACTGTCATGGATTGACTTGTGTCCCCCCAAAATATGTATCAACTTGGTTAGGCCACGATTTCCAGTATTGTGTGGTTGTCCTCCATTTTGTGATTTTCCTCTGTGTTGTAAATCATAATCTCTTCCTGCGGTTAAAGAGGATTAGGGTGGGATGTAACACCCTTGCTCAGGTCACATCCCTGATCCAATGTAAAGGGAGTTTCCCTGGGGTGAAATGGAAGCAAGCAGAGAGTTAGGGACCTCATACCAACAAAAAAGCAGCGCCAAGAGCAGAGTGTGTCCTTTGGACCCAGGGTTCCTGTGTGGAGAAGCTCCTAGTCCAGGGGAAGATTGATGACAAGGACCTTCCCCCAGAGCTGACAGAGAGAGAAAGCCTTCCCCCGGAGCTGACGCCTTGAATTTGGACTTTTAGCCTACTAGACTGTGAGAAAATAAATTTCTCTTTGTTAAAGCCATCCACTTATGGTATTTCTGTTACAGCATCGCTAGATAACTAAGACAGCAACCTTATAGGACTGAGTAGAATTGCCCCATAGGGTTTCCAAGGAGCAGCTGGTGGATTTGAACTGCCGACCTTTTGGGTAACAGCTGAGCGCTTTTAACCACTGCACCGTCAGGGCCCTGTGGCATTTACTAAATACCCAGTAAATGTTATTGCTCTTTCTCTGGAACGTGAGCCTTTAACAGCTCCCAATACCATTCCAGATACAGCCTCAACTCCTTTAACCTTTTACCAACACTCTCTACATTCTGGCTCAAATCTGCGTCTCCAATTTTAATGCTCCTTTATAGGATTATATTTTAAAGTATGTGTCTTATTAGATGATCTTTTTGAAAGTATACGTACAGTCTCTCCAGCTAAATTAAAGCCCCTAAGCTTTAATTATAACCATAGCATTTCAACACCGCCTTGACATTGCATATACTGAACAATCATTTGCTATTAATAAGTTGGAGTCCCTGGATGGTGCAGATGGTTAACCCACTCTGCTGCTAACCAAAAGGTTGGAGGTTCAAGTCCACCCACAGGTGCCTCAGAAGAAAGCCCTGGAAATCTACTTCCCAAGAATCAGCCATTGAAAACCCTATGAAACAAGTTCTACTCTGACACATATGGGGTTGCCGTGAATTGGAATGGGCTCAACAGCAACTGATATTTATGAGTTGCTAGTGCTAAATCTCAACAACCACAAAGGCTTTAAACTCATGATTCTCAATCCTGGCTGTACCTTAGAATCACCTGGGTAATAAGTAAAAATGCTGATGGTTAGGCTTCATCTTAGCCCAACAGATCAGAATCTCTGAGGGTGATGCTCAAGCTTCACACCTGGATAATACTGTTACAACCAAGGTTGTGAACCACTGGATTCAACAGATGAAGTAATATAAGCCAGTGTTTCCCTAGTCTAACTGATCATCACAAGCAAGACGTGGAGACTGCTGATGTAGGTAAAGATGTTTTGTCCCTTGCAAAGAGCTCTACAAATGTTAGACAATGTTATTATGGTACATTTGGGAGCATCAGTGCTTTGAGAAAGATTTGCTAACCCTGAATTGTTTAATAGCTAACAAAATAGCTTACCAGTAATAGCTTTCTGCATAATAGCTTTCATACCAAATGCATAAGCCTTGTTCCTTTTGCGAACTTAAAAATATTCAAACTCTGTGTCTTTTCCAGGCTAGCAAACTTTCAGCAGCAGACCCTCTCAAGATTGTCTACTTGCCCTTGTTCTTGTTGCGTTGCCACACTTGGAAGCAGGAGATGGGCTCAGCAACAGCCAAGAGGCCATGATCCAGGAGGAGCAGTGAGGGACAGAGCTGCTGGTAAGACAGAGGGATGAGAAGTTTACAAAAGCATGGCTTGTTTGTGAGGAGTATAAGTTTACTCCCAATTTAAAAGTCAACCTCTTTTCCAACCTTCAGCTCTTAAGTTACTCAGCACTCTCTCAAATACCTTTATCTATGCTTACGACACTTGGCTTTTAAGCTCTATGAATCCCCTAAAATCATGTGCTCACTTGTATGTGTATGCATATTTTTCTGGGGAAAGGGGCAGTTTTCATCATATTCTCCATGTCTACGCATTTTAAAAAGAGAGATAAGAACTATTCAAGTATAGCTACGCGTGGAGAAATATGGTTATCTATAACCACTTGTCACAACATTGCTCTCCTCTATTTTTATCTCACCTATGGAGCCCTGGTGGCTCAGTGGTTAAGAGCTATGGCTGGTAACCAAAAGGTCCGCAGTTCAAATCCACCAGCCACTCCTTGGAAATCCTATGGGGCAGTTCTACTCTGTTCTATAGGGTCGCTATGAGTTGGAATCAACTCGACAGCACTTAGCAACAACAACATGGCCATTTCTGTCTCAATCTTGTTAAGGACCAAAAATGTGGTATTTGTGGCTCTTTGCAGGTCTGAAAAGTGAGTGTTCACCAGGCATAGCTGCCAGGCCTCACGACAGTTTGGCCCCATGGAGCTAGCTGAGACCTGAAGCATGGAACAGCGTGCTTTAGGAGTGCCTGTGTCATTCCTTCCATGATTTCTGCAAAAACAAATAAAGACACAGAGGGGGATATACCAAATTCTTTTTTCATCATTTTCTTATAGTTGGTCTAATAAAGTTTCCAAGTTATGGGATAATTCTTGTTTCTTCCTGCCTGTTCTCTCTCTCACCTCCCAGACTTGGCTTTTAATTTGCTCTAAATGCCATTGACCTGCTAGCGAGTGTAACAACATAAGGGTTATTTATCAGGCTATTATAGTTTATATGGATGTATAGATAGAAGTAGAAAACTGATGTGTTTGTATTCCAAAATACTTATAATGAAGACTAGAACAAATTTACTATCTTACCTATGTTTGTACCATAAACCAATTAAAACTGTAGGGACATTACAAGAAAGAAAATGGAGTGTTGAGCAGAGGACAAGAAGAATTAGGTATTTTCTTTCTTCTATACCTCTTTTAGCAGGTCACTCAGCTTCAGGTTCACTGTGTCTTGTTTGTGCATTCACATAACAAATCTTCTAAAAAGCCTGTGTAGCAATAATCTCTGCCCTCACTCCAGAAGCCTGAGGATATAAGTATCCACTCTGCCACTTGATACTTCTTAGAGACTGACCCAGTGCTGAGAAATTCTTTCCAGTATGTCCTCAGTTAAACTCCCATGATTCCTGGACGTTGCCATTTTGAAGTCACAGGGCAAGTGCCTCTGCCTAGATTACCTCTCTACGCTGGGAATTTGAAGTCACTGTGAGGGAAAGAGAGCTCAGCACAGCAGTGACGCTCAGAATGAAATTTTCCCCTTGCATGTTAATGTTTTGAGAGTCATCATTGTCACGAAAATAGACTTCCTCTTTCCCCTCTCTTGCTGGAAAATCTTAGGTAGTTATGAATAAAGCATTCTTCGCTTTTCCCTTCCTCCCTTGATGAATGTTTTATCTTGCACTGTGAGGACTGTGGCCACTCATTCTGTACTTGTCTTTTACATGAGAATTGAGAAAGCATTTTTAAGATGGAATTTTTATCTTGTTAGTGGTCATTACATTAGTCAGAGATCTTCTTTTCTTGGAGGTGAAGGATGGTAAGTAAGGAAGTATAAAAGTTGAGGAAAAAGTGTAAGATAAATCACTAACAAGAGGACAAGGCATTAAAATATTAGTTTTTTTTCTAAGAAAGAAGATTTTACAACTAAGTCCCTCAGAAGTTATTACCTCTTATCCAAAAGGAATCTTATTTTGTATTGAGATTTTTACAATTGGATAAGCTGAGGACTTATTTCCGGTAGCAGATTGGATAAGCTGAGGACTTATTTCCAGTAGCAGATAAGCCTAGGACCTTATTTTCAGTAATATTTATTAGCGGTGTTCATGAGAAAATCACTTAATCTCTTTAAGCCTCGTTTTATTTGGCAAGGAGGAAAACAGGTAATGATAGATGATAATAACGGTATTTTTTTATAGATAATATGTGCAGGGCCTGACACATAGTAAGTTTCCAATTTTACATTAGTATTTATTATCATTACTGTTATTGTTAACACTATTATTAATGTTGCTTTCCATTTTTTTAATAGTGAATTCGTTAAAATATATTTATTGAGTACTTATCAAATACCAAGCACTCTTCTAAGAGCTGGGAATGCATTAATGATGAGCAAAACAGACAAAAATCTCTTCTTACAGAGCTTAGAATCTAGAGAGACAGATGTAAACAAGATAAATAAATAAAACTTTGTAATATGTTGAATTCCCAAAAGTGCTAAGCATAAGAAATAAAGCAGGAAAAGAAAATTGGGGGCATAGCAATATAGAAATTGAAGATGGAATAGTCAAGCAAGCCCTCATGAGAAGAATATTTTTTGAGTAAAAACCTGAAAACAAACCCTGAAGTTATGTGGGGGAGACCATTCCAAGGAGTGGAGAAAAGCATTTGCAAAGGGAGGTATGGACCTAGAGTAGTAAAAGGTTTTCACAGAGTGGCTCAAAGAGAATCAGAAAATCTTACACATCTTAATTACATACCACCAATAAGTATTTACACATATGCCCAAGTAACTGCTACAGTTAAGAACTTTGGAGGTTCAAGTAATGGCAAAGTCAGTCTGGATTGAAACAGAGGAGACTTCATAAGGGAAGGTGACAGGTGTGGCGTGGACCTCGAAGGATAGGATGAATTTGGATAGACAGTAAAGAATGACATTCCAGTGGAGAGAAGTGGAGGGGAAACAGCATGAGACGGAGTGAAATAAGAATGTTAGCCTTCAGGGCAGGGGTGGCAGGGCAGAGGTCAGAGGGTAGGGTGGCAGAGCGGAACTGCCCTACCCTGTGAAGAGTTCATGTTGGCAAATAGTGAGAGAGAAGATGGAAAAGCAAGGTGTGGCCAAATTTCGTAAAACCCTAAATCTAAATCTAAGATAAAGATTATTGCATGTTATCCTACAAATAGTGGGGAGCGATTGAAGCAGGTGAGTAGCAAGATGAATTCAAGTCTTTAGCAGTGTCACATAGGAGGTGAAGGAGAAGAGTCAAACATTGCTCTTAGAGTTTTAAAATGCCCGATTAAGTGTTGACACTAAAGGAAAAAGGCAAGATAGAGTATATTGAGAGTTTGAATTCAAGATCAGTGAGGGTGCGACAATGCAATATAGATATCCTTAAGACTACTGAAGGTAAGTTGTTTTAGTATTTTACGTATAGGCTGGATTAAGTTTCTAAAACTTTGCATTAAAATCCATGTAAATGCTAACATGGTACCAAAATTCTTTGTATGAGAATGTATGTATCCAATTTTTATATTTTTATACACAGTTTGAGTACCAGAATCGTAACATAATTTCTCAAAAAGTAACCCTCAGACATCATCTAGTCCAACTGGCTCATTTAATGGAAGAATAAAAAGGGTACCCAGAAATGTTACGTGACTTCCCTGAGGTCATGTCGTTAGCTATTGGCAGAGCCTAGATTAGACCCAGGTCTCCACGTATTTAGAGCTTTCTCCCAACTCTCCATGCTATTTATAAAAAGTGTTATTGATTTATATTTTGCCAGCTTGCTTGTGGAGACAAGGGTTAAGCTTTGGATTTGCCCATTAGCACTATATTATAGCCATTCTTCTAATTAATACGGGAATTTTTACCTTCTAGCATGGAACAGAAAGGTAGAAATCTAATTTATTTAGAAGCTTCACTCTTCTTGACTTAATTAATAACTTTATCCTACTTAGACCAAAAAAACCCATTGCCAAGTTGATTCCGAGTCATAGTGACCTTTTAGGACAGAGTAGAACTGCCCCATAGGGTTTCCAAGGAGCAGCTGGTAGATTCGAACTTCCAACCTTTTGGTCAGCAACCGAGTTCTCACCATTGTGCCACCAGGGCTCCTCTCCTATTTATAGTCATTGTTAATGTTTTATGACTGAAAATGTCAGCTTTCTATCTCTTCAGTAGTTTGAAAAGGAATAAGTATTTCTAATGCTATATTTTTTCTGTTTGCCTTTCAGAAGAAAAAAAACTTTTGTTATCTCAAATTTAAGTCTTCACCTAGACTTTAAAATTAAGATTGCAAACGTCGCTTCCTTACAGACCATTCTTAGGAACTAAAATCCACTGTTATTGTTTTGACAAAACAGATCAAGTTATCCTTTGTGTGTCACAGGCTTTTTAAACAAAAATTGACCCTAGAGATCATCTCATGCAGTGCTCTTCAAATTGAACTCTTCAAACTATTATTCTGCTACCCATCTGTTTGTTATTTAATATTTTCTTATTTTAAATAAAATAATTATCAAAAGAGTTGAAGTGTATTTAAAAGAGAAAATATTTTTCTGCTTATAATAGCTCTGCAGTTCTGTCTTTTTACATGTCTTTACTTTCTCCATTACAGATGCTACAATATGATACAAATCATGACTGAACTGTGTGAAAACTTCTATTATATATAGTGTCTTGTATATATGCTAAGGCTCAGTAGTCACTAAGTCCCAAGAGTCTGAATTTTAAAAGACCACTGGTATTCTCATGGGACTGAGCTGAGAATTTTGGCAATCCCTAAATTCACAAATAGCACTATAGCATTTTTTGCATTAATGCATACCCACATCTGACTTGTATTTTGAGTTTAGAACAAGTAAGCCATATTAAAATAGACTGTACCCGGCGAAAGTCATTTTTACCATTCTTGGGTTTCAGTTTCCCAATCAAAAGGTGAAGTATCAGTTGCCTTTATTGATCTCATAGGATATTTTAAGCAGAAGTGAGAATCTTAGTGAAAACGCTTTGTATTCTGCAAGAAAGCTGCAATGCAGAGAAAGGCCTAGAGA